GTGGATAGATAGATAGATAGGTAGATAGATATGCATGTGTGTGTGCGCGCGTCAACACGGTTAGGGCTCAGGCGCGGGCAAATAGATATACATCTGTTTGCACATATGTCAGTCGTGATTCTGCACTGGTAGGTAAAGCTACAAGATATAGGGTCAGACGGGCAAGCTCGAAGTCTCTAAACACAAATCCCCGACTGTCGCAGGAACGGGTCCAGGCCTTTACTCGAATGTTTTCGAAGCGCTGCGCTCTTCGCAGCACTTCCGCCTTTTGCAAGTTGCAGGTCTACGGTGTTCCGGTTCGGGGTAGAAGGGTTTCGGGTTGCCAGGAGTGCAGCGAATAAGTACTGTGGCCTGAGTAGCTGACTCGGCTAGTTGATTGCATCCCCTTCTTAGAAATGCAAAGGCATGCACAGTAGAAGCTGCCTGATTCAGGTGGAAGCATCTTTAACATAACCTAAACCCTATAAGCCTTGAACCGAAAGCCCCAAACCAAAAACCCTAAACCATAGGCCCTACCTGGACCCCAAATAACCTACCTCTTTAGTGGGATCCCTAGTATATTTTTCCTTTTTAAAAACCCTCAAAAGGGTAGGTTATTTTATTTGGGGTTAAGGCAGGCCCTGAACACAAACAACCGTTCAAGCCCAGGGCGGGGGGGTTTAAGACTCAAGGCAACGAGCCTTCAACCTTGGGGCCTTGGATCGCCAGATATCACACGGATCTACATGGTACTCACCCTAACAAGGCACCTATTGTCTCCGTGGTAGTTCCGTTTTCGATTTGGCCAGTTTAATACCAGTATCTAGGATCCTATACCCCCAAAAGAAACTACAATGGACACTAGAGGTAAGATCCTATGTCCGGCTCTTGTTCTCCGAGGCGGGGCCAAGCTCAGATCATGCGCGCGAGGCCCTGAGTTTGGGTGTAAGCACCACGGGGTTTAGGGTTTTAGGACCTTCAGAAAATTAACAAGGGCCCGTAATGCAGATCCTAGATGAATCCCAGTTGCAAAGGATCCCAGCGTTTGACAATTGCAAATCAAACGCAAGTAAGCCCACGCCAAGAATGCAGGACAAGTCCGACACGATTGTGGCTCGGGTACCCTCAAACGATAAGCCCTAACACTCAAAACCCGAACACCCCAAACCCTATGATACCGGAAACCGAGTTCTGAGAAGGCGAGCCATGTAGACCATGTTCTTCCGCAGTTGAAGCAGTCGTGCTTCCAACCACTGCGACCCTACCTGAGCTCACTTCTCTTCTCAAGCCCCCAAGGATTGCTCGGCTCGGGTTTAGGGTTTAAGGTTTAAAGATCCAGAGCTTGGAAATTTTTAGGTGTCCAGGGCTCGCTCGGCCTTCCAGACCCCAGACCCGAGGCTTCGAGGGATAGGGGTCTGAGTTCGGCTTAGGGCTTAGGGCTTGTTTATAATAACAATCCTTATGCGACGTTTTGGAAACCCTGGACTCAGAAAACACATCAACTATGGAAGATACCTCGTATCCCGGCAAGGGCTCGGTTTCAAGAGCCATGTGCAAGCGAGCGTTTGGGTCCTCCCATATCATCCGCATCATCCTGAACGCCAAACCCAAATCCCTGCGGCAGTAAAGCACACCCCCAAAGACTATCCTGAGCTTCCCCTGACCCTCTGGAGTCCAAGCGCTTGATCGGAAGGGAAGGACTTGAAGTAAAGGTCTTAATAATTGGAATGGGTGTAGTGGTGGTGGTGAGGGTGGTGGTGCAGTAGGATCAGAGAGTTTGAGTTTAGGGCTTTGGGTTTGGGGCTGAGGGGGTTTACTTAGTTGCTGGGTTCATAAGCCCAGAAACGTGCTAACGTGCAGTTCTACAGGGGTATATGAATGATATATCCAAAACGTGTAGAGTGCCCTCATTCAGCTACTAAGGTTATGGCTTATGCCGCACTCCCTGAGCACCGGGACATTAAACTTCCAAACCTCCACACTCTCTCCCTGAAAGCCACACCCAGCAAACAGCCCCCAACCCTAAACCCTCCATCACAAACACTAGATTATATAAGTCATTAAAAAACCCCAAATAAGCCTTAAACCATAAATCCTGAACCTTAAACTCTAGACCAGACCCAGTCGAAATCTCCAAGGGCTGCAGGCTTGAACAAGCCCAGGCCTCCGAAACCACCCTTAAGATGGGGATCGTAGATTCCAGCCCCAGGCCCTGTAATCGAGCCGTCAGCCTCCCTCTACGAATTTCAATGCATTCCAAGGCACATAGTAGGGCAGTTGGGTGTCTCGTCCCGGGGAGCGCGGAATCGCTTCGGCAAAATCCTCTAAGATTCGGCATGATCTTGACTTAAAGCTCAAGGGAAGTTCGAGCTCCGGTCTGAAGAACCCTCAGTCTCACAGGCGTGTAAAGTTCAGGTTCCAGGCCTGAGGTGTTTGGCTTTATCCTGCTTTCGCTTCGAGGTTTCAAAGCTTTCGTTTCGGGGTAGGTTCTGACGTGTTGTGGACGAACAGCTAAGCAGTAGCAGATTCTGACCGGGCTCTGGAATCTGCCTCAACCGTCAGCAGAATGCTGATGTGTTGTGAGTCCTTCATATCACGGCTGGTATCATCAGGACCCTCCAGAATAGTCTTCCCATCCTCGAGCTCGAAGCAAGCCCGAGACTGAACGAGTCATATAAGTCTTGTAGTAAGGTGATTTAAGGTTATCTTGGGACTCTATACATCTCAAGACTTCTAATCAGTCCATGGGGGGAAGCCATCTTCGTAACTATTCCCAATAGGGTAGAGATATCGCTGCAGATGCTCGTCCTTTCCATTTCCAGGCCCTAATGAAAACAAGTCGATATCCTCCGTTCACCTAAACCCAAAACCCTAATCAGAAAACTCTCCGACAAACCCAGCCTCCTCTTGCTGCTCCACGTACACCGATGTCTCCAGCCTACGCGGATCTAAGGTCCAAGGATAAACCCCCAAATCCCAGATCCAATAGCTTCTTGGAGTACAGGGTTCAGGATCCTATACCCTTACTTGTAGCCCTACCAAAACCTTCTTCTTTCGGAATAGTGGAATGAGAACACAACAAGGAACCGGGAAGAGCCAGGGTTCTTGGGCTTCAGGTAAACCTGAAACCGCAGTCCAATGAGACTTTCGAGGTCTTCTTCAGCCGAGAAGCAGCCGAACAAGCCAGACAAGGAGCTGCTGTTGCTTGGTGCAAAGATCTTCCTGACAATGTTGCGGCCAACAAATAGACTACGTAGGTTTAGGGAGGCAGGGAGAGATAATACGGCACATTCTGTCTCTAGGCAGGAACGCTGAAACATAATGTTAGTCATTATTCAGGGTTGGGGTTCAGTGCTGGCGGTGGGGTTTGGGTTCAGCACGATTTCGAGCTCAGGGCTTAGACGTTTTAGGACGTGTCAGACCAGAACGGGCAGTCGAAAACGCTACTCCCGACAATCTGAGACCGAAACCTGAATGAAAAGTCCTCAATCAACAAGAAGCTTCGGGCGAAGTATACAGTTTACGAGAAAACCCAATCTTACATTGCATGCACCATGACTCATGACAATGCCAGGTTTGATAAACAGCGCAGTATATATACATATCATATACTTAAAGTGTAGATGCATTAAGCGGTACACGTATGGGTTCATATACATGAAGGAGTTAATAGGCATATTAAAGCATCAAACATTTTAGAAGACATTCTATGTAGTAACCAGGAATACCAAAAAGTTGAAAAGTTGAACATTTAACACAAAGTAAAAAATCAACATGCCCTCGGTGCTATACAGTGAATGACACAAACCATACAAACTGCACACAAAACATGTGATATGTGCTTTTAATACCACAAGCTGGAATGCTTAGTTTATGGTATCTAGTATAAACATCGAACTTACGAACTTAGGTAATGCAAAATGCTTGATCTATGATCTTGTATGAAAGAGCATTTCAATGTCTACATAAGGTAATATGTCATATGTTGCACCACGATATCCAAAACTGACTTGTGCAGTAGGAATAGATACTGGGTTTTCCAAGAAAGTATGATGCATTACAAACAGGGCTTGACATTTGGTGATGACGATGCTGCAGTTTGTGCTGTCATCGTCAATACTACACACCGTTTATGTACATATGTATGCGTATGTGTATGTGCATGCGTATGTGCATGTACGTATACCTATAGGATAAGTATAGGTCAGAGTAAGCGCATATCTATATCTATATGTAGGTTGGTGTGTATGTATATATATATATATATATATATATATATATATATAATTCTATTGTAATCTACATGCGTGTGTATGTATGAACACATACACACCATAATGTTCATGATTTAGCATGTCTACCTTTTAGTGTATAGCCTATGACATATGTCGATACTGATGTCTTGCACAACATAGATGAGCATATAAATATATCAATATACATAGATATACACACTGTCATAGGACCTGCATCTATGTCTTTTCTATATCCATATCCATGTCAGAGAGAAAGAGAAAGATAAAGACAGAGAGAGAGAGAGAGAGAGAGAGAGAGAACGAGCTAAGCCAGAAAAAACTCAATATTCTCAAAAAGGCTGTTGGCTGGTGGATAACCTCGATGCGTCTTGGATTGGGTTATTCCTGCCTCTGCCAGCCCGGCGATGAAGCGCACCGCTGCCGAGGTCGCCAAAGGGTTGGGGCGCTTGTCCTTCAGGAAGTTGAATCCTACAGAAACCCTCCCATGTACTGCTTCTTCTTCTTCTGTTGTGGTTGCTCAGTTTCGTGAATGTCACTCAGACATTAGACTTTAGACTCTTTAGACATAATACAAGATAAACCAGCGGTAATAGTCAAGTTCATACAAAGGTTGTCTGAAACAAGGGTGCTTCAATTCTGGACCTATGTAATTAACCCGCACACCTGTTTGCAGACCTTCACCCTGTCTCCTGTGACCGCAGCATGAGCGGTCCTCTGGGAAACACACCCCAACTCACCGTTTCACAGCATTTTCACCAAAGCGATTCAGGAAGGCCGCCGCATGGAGACCCGCCGTGCAGCAGCGCTGCCTTCTAAAGTCGGCCTCCAACCAGATGCTAAGCAGACTGGCAAGGTCCGTAGTCTAGTGTCTTCTTGTCCTGAAGCAGTTTGGTGGCTGTATCGCTTGGGACTCCGGGCTGGGTCGTCTGTCTCAACCTTCGTAAACAACACTTCGTCCGGCAGAAAGCGGCGGTGAAGAGCAGGTTGCAAGGGACCCTCGGCCCTCGGAACTTCGAGGATTCCAATCACCAGTAGTTGGCAGTATTCCTGGGCTTTTAAGTAACCGGGGGGAAAAAGTATAAACTTTTATTTCATAAGGGTTCCTTTAAGAAAAGCAGTATTAAAGTATGGTACTCCGAAGCCCAGATTCCGCAAAAGATTCCACATCCAGCTGACGAAGCAAAGCCTCCGAGCACTCCGGCAGCCGGTTGTATCCCTCGGGGCCTCGACGCTCTGCTCTGGCCAAGCCAAGGATGAACAGATGATCCGTCGCATGTATGCGAGCTTGGAAGCTCTCATTGAGAATGTGCGGAGCAGAAGAGGTGAAGCCGGCTGCAGTGACAGGCAAGTCTCGTAAGTGCTTTCGACCAGCCTTGAAGTCCAAACTGATTTTCTCACTGGCATCGCTCCTGTACTTGAAATTGACAGTGTCAGGATGCTTGAGTCTCATCACAATGACGGACTGCAGCCTGCTCTGTGCCGCATGGACAAACCAAATGTGCTTTCCTGGTTGTACCGACTCAAACTTGCCGAGGCCCATGCCCCATGGCCATCTTTTCTCAACGTCGTCCACGGCCAAACAGGTCAGTGCTGCGAGAGCTGAGACATTTCTGTGTAATTGGCTCCTGCTTCGAAGACAGAGGGATGTGCATAGCAAGTCCTCGTTTTTGTGGGGGTAGCTTCCGAGACTCAAGTAGTTCCTGTTGTCCTCATCATAAAACGTGATCTCAACAATGTCACCCACCTCCGGAATCCTGTTTTTCTTCTTCCAGAAATGGCCCTTCTCGTCACCAAGCAACCTGAACCTGTCCTCGGGTATTGGTCGGACAATACCTCCGGTTCTGCACCGTGGGGAATCGGATCGCATGACTAGAACCACGAAGCAATAGAGTGGCAAGTACGCATGGTCCGTCCGGGCGATGACGTTGCCACTTACCAGCTTCGGGCTGCCTTGTCTTGAGGACTTCCACTGGTTCGGTGGAATGTCAGCGGGCACCAAGACGATGGGTGGTTCCAGCTCAAGCCTGGAGAGTGAAAGCACCGCCTGCTCCATGTCTGCATCAGCCTGCAGCAAATGATGGCACAAGATGTCGTCATCAAACATCGGGAAATTATGCCTCAGGCTGTGCACGCTGGCAGAGAAATCCTCATGAAGAGCCGTGGGCAATGTGCTTAGCTCACAATCAGCTCCAGCACTGTGATGGTCGCTGTCACTCTCGACCTCATCCGCTTTCGGGAGAGCTTGAGATGACTGAACTTTGCTTCGTTCTGCTCGTCTCCTTGACTTTGTCCTTCGTTTCCGCGATCTTGCAAGAGTGGAAGTTGCGCGTGCTTCATTCGCAGCTTTTCGGTCTGTCTCCTCCTCGGCAAGCAGTTCTGCAGCCGCAACCCGGCTCGCCATCTCAGCAAGTAGCTCACTCCTTCGGCGTGCCCTTGCCAACGCTCTGTCTGAGCTCACGAAAAGTTCTCCACAATGATGCTGCTGACGGCAAAGCATTCGGCTTTCGTGGGTCACCGCGTGCTGCATGATCTGTGTCGTCACTGGTTGCAGGGGGTGCTTTTGTCAGTTGTTGACAAAGGCCAAGTTGCACGCAGCCGATCGCGATGTCTAGTGGCAGGCCAGAAGCCCAAACCCGGAATAAATCCAGACACCCCATGTCGCAGGCGGCATTAGGCCCAGCAACCAAAGATGGCAGCTAACATGTATTTTCTGACTGGCTTCCTTTCGACCCGGGATTTCGCACATGGTGCTCCTCTTAGCCACAAGCTCTTAACGGCTTAACGGTCCAGCATCTTAATTCCGCGCATGAGCTGCGAGCTAAACGAAGGGTGCAGCTTTGACGTTTCAGAAACATGCCCAGTCAAAGGCTTCGACACTCGATCATGAGGCGCACATGGACAGAAGCTTCAGGACATAACCACGCGCTCCATGCAATTGAACACACAAGCACTGTAGCAGTAAAGCACGAGATGTCTGGACGGAGATGTAAGGTCCTATACATGAGTACCAATACCATTTGGGCGGTTCCTGATTATATTCATAGTGTAGTCAACCCCAAAGCCTAGTATTGTAATGATTCAGGCCCTCATATTGAAAGTATTCGAAAGAATCTCAGACCTTGCATGTTGAAGGTTTCCACACATGCGATTATCGGTTCGTAGCTTACAAGCTGCCTGAGGTGGATGGGAAACGCACAAGCTGGAAAGTACAGGCTGTCCAAGATCGCAATGATGTCGAGGGGTTGTGGCGAAATACGCTGCAAACTACGATAAACAAAGGACTCTGAACCGTGACAATCCCGAAGACGTGCTCTCCACTGGAGCCTGAGCCCTATGACTCAGTTCGCTCCCAAAGCATTGCACCCCAAAAAGCAGAGCCAAGCTTGGGAAGATTTTAGTGGTGCTGCATCGGAGAAAGGGCAACCAAAGTGAATGTGAAAGGCTCAATTTAAATTTTATCAGCGAATCCTAAACCTGCCAAGTCATCTCATACTATGAATATGAACGTGTAACCGGCATAACCATGCACTCCCACGACTCCCAAGTACGGGGCCGCAAACAAGGCCTAGCGTAGCATGCTCCTTCCAACAGTTAACGAGCTGAGCGAGGGTGGGTCGCTTCGGAGCCCAAAGCCCTGAGAATACAGGGCAACCCTGTAACAGCCAACCAACTCACCATAGCCCTACCACTCTTCCTGGAGTGCAGCCTAGTGGACCCTGAACACTACAAATCTCAGGACCCAGGCGTTTCAGCGTAAAGAGTTCAATCAGGATGAACATGATGTCATATTCTCAGGCGAAGACAGCACGATATGCTAGGAACCCTTGAGACGATACAGTGTTCAAATAGCAAGAGACCAGAGAACATAGAACGCAACAACATGGAGTGAAGGTATAACACCCTCATCTGCCTTCGCAGCGGAGGCGGCTTTCTCGATGGCAGCAGCTGTTCTGCTCCAGCGGTCGTATGCCTCGCCACAGAGCGACAAGGCTCATGGCCAAGAGCTTTCAGAGCGGTAGGCAGATGGCTCTCAGAGCTCACTATATTACACTGCAGTATAACATGTAACCCTATACCGCATTCATTATTTGAGGCCGCTATACTATTATGGTATATACCGTTGAGGTACACCACCCTTGAGATCTTGTGGAGCCCTCCTTGTTCACAAGCGCTGTTATCCCTGAATTTCTCAAACCCGAAAATCCAAACCGAACAGCTCGAAGGGTTCAAGGTTTCGGGGTTTTGCAAACCTTCGGGGTTCAGGCTTGGGCGTGAATCTGCAATCCTGAAGATGAATATTTACCCCAAGACCTTGAGCAACTCGGATCCTAAGCCATGACCCTACCAAGCCACGTGGAGAGAGCGGCTTAGGATCTAGGGCCTGGGGCTTTTTCGTCTGAATCGCTCCTGTTTTGGGCCGGAAAGGGTTTAGGGCTGCATGGTAGGATCCTGCGCCATATATAATCCTTGCTGGCTACGAGCTCCGGCGGTGTTCAATCAGTCAACACCCAGCAGAAGACCGAAAAACTAAATTCCTAAAATACTTAATCCTGAGCCCTACATGGGGAACCCCAGTCTCTGCCTCCTGAGTAAACGGATGCTCCTGCACCAGGTGGGTGCTTCGGGTTTATGTTGGGCGATCTGGCGTCCTAAACCTGACTTGCGGGGATTCGTAGATTCGGGGCACTATGCTTGGGGCTCTGTATAGAGTTACGGTTTAGGGTCGGGCTGTCTGTTGCTGTTTCTTCTTGCCTTTTGCTTGGGTGAGCGGCTCGTTTCAGAATGCAGCTTCAGGCGCAATGCATTGCGGATTTGGCTTGGGGGCTTCAGTTCGGTGGAGTCTTCGGTGACGCCGTATTCCAAGAATACGTGTCGGGGTTATAGGGTTCAGAGTCGTGCGGGTGGTAGGGCGTGGGGCCGTGGCATCATGTCAACAAGCGAGACTGTGCACCACCCGACTGCTCCGAATCTAAGGTGAAGGTCCTTCTTTCCTTCCTGGCGACGAGAGTTACGACAAGGTGATGCCAACAACTCTGAGTCTCTGATTAGACCGGCAATATTCTCTAAGCCCTTGAACCCTGAAAATCAAAATAAGAGGCTTAAGGCTTGGGGCCGAGACTCTAAGCCTTGGCGACCGATAGATTATCCCCGCAGAGTCTAGGCACCTCCCCGTCTTTCACGCAACTCCCAATCTCCACCAAGTTCCGAAACCTCAAACTACCGAGATCACTGATACCATCCGTCTATAGAAAATCTGCAAACCCCGAACTCCTGAACCCTTCAACCTCCACCTTTAGATCCCTCGAGTCCCCAATCCTTAGGCCCCAACGCCCTTAATCCCTGTGTCCTTGAACCCATGACCCTCTATCCGTCAGACACGAATCCTCACAGCACCAGAAAGATGGAAGAGTATCATCTCCATGCCCTTCACAAAACATGACTAACTCCTGGCACGAGCCTTCCTTAAGCCAAGCTTTCTGGACTTCACTCCTGAATCAGAAGAACTCGGATAGACACCTTGTGCAACCCTTCAACCCCATGAAAGCAGCCCGAGACCCTTATGCAACCCTTCTGAAATCCTAAACAAGCATAAAGCCTTCAGCGCTCTGTCATGAAGCCCTGCTTGTCTTTGGCACCTTCAAGCCCCCTAACCTCTCAACCCTACACCCCGAAATCCTAAAACCTGAACCGGAGATCACCTCGGCGGGGCTCTCCGTCGGCAGCAGCCGGCGAGCCGCCACGCGCGGCGTCCTCGTATATAGATGAACAAGACATGGGAACGATAGCTAGAATGCAGTGTGGGGGGGTATATTTTGGTCTAGAACCCATAAGAGGTTCATATTATTCTCATATACATATATATGTACATATGTATATATATATATATATATATATATAATATGTATATATATATATATATATGTGCACATATATATATATATATATCCCTCTCTCCCACTTGTTTAGGAGGCTTTTTTGTGGTATCAATAATTAAGGTGTAGCTCTGTACATGGAGGAGGTACGAGCGTTAGTTTAGGGGTTTCAGGGTTTAGGGGTTTTCGCGTTTAGTTTATTGCGAAACCGACAGCTTTCTGTATGCAGAAAAGTTCCCCCGGGTCGGAACGGGCTTGCGATGTTCCGCACTACGTTTTAAGGTGCTTGACTACAAAAACACGGGCACCTGCAAAGCAACTCCATTCCAAAGCAATGGGGAATTCAGGGACGTGCACATTGCAAGCCTATACACTTGAAAGATTTCAAGATCTGAACCACAACCCCCGAAGCCTCAACTGAAACTGTTTTCTGGGTCCACCTATAATAACCCATGCACCCTTCTACTTTGCACTGTGCAAGACCCAGACTCCCTCGACGACCTCTCCACCAAACCCCCAAGACCCCAGGCCGCTCTGGATTCCGCCGAAGTGTCTGTAGGCGATCGGTGAGGAGGGGGCAGGGCCGCGTGCGCTGACTGAAGGACGCCTGGCGAATAGCTTCTTTTCAAGGAAGCCTAGCGAGGCCCACATGCCCGAACACCTTGGAACCCTCAAGAATCCTAGCAACCGGGCGCTTCGGACCTCGGCGAAAGGAACATAATTCTTGTCTCTCGTCGTGGAGGGCGGTTGCGGCTGGTCGCAAAAAGATTCATCCCACTTTTCCCGAAAGATTCCGTCAACTTGCCCAGCGGATTCCCTAAACCCTAAGCCCTAAAACCCTAAACAGTAGTAGAAGCAACCGGAATTGAAAGAGTATTGGTTGAGAGAAACGCCGGAAGTTGATGAATCGGGCTTAATTACACCGTTGCGGCTTGGAAAGCTTAGTGCGTTTGTATTGCAGTGAGGGTGCGCAGATCTTGCAGGACCTCACTCACTAAATCCTGAATTTCATTCCAGGATTACCAAATTTTAGGACACAAGCGCGGTTCCGGATGTATGTAGGTTGCAACTCTGATGCTGGTACGAGAAACTAAGGTAGCAGCTGTTGCTAGTTGGAACCTAAGACCATGCGTCCAGTCGCTTCTCAGTAAATGCCTCCACGGTATTCGGGCGCGTCGCAGGCAGTCCCACGAATCGCCGCCGCTTCCTCAGCAAGGACCGACCGTTGCGCAAGGACGCGGGTTTTGAGTCAATGCTGTTTGGAACTTTCTGGTTGCGGCTGAGGATGCAGAGCATGCGATCTAGATTTCTCATAACTTAGCACGATCCCCAGCTCAATTCGGCAACCTGCTCCAGTCGCCATGTAGCCCGTCATCATGCGTTCCAAGCTGAAACTGTAAACTTCTCGCAGATTTCGGAAAGACTTCATCGGTAACTAAACCACTGATGCTTGCAACGGATCCAAAGCCTTACAAGAGGATGAAAAGCTTTCAGCTTGGTGTCTGTGGGTCTCCTGCAGAAGAAACAGTAGCTAGGTCCGCTAGGTTGTGTTCGCTGCTTCAGCTTCAACCCATTCAAAGGCTTTCTGGGTGGGTTTGAGGTTTAGGGGACGGAGGACACCCATTGCCATTGCGCCCCTATGTAAGCTTGAAAA